GGGGGAGGTTACTGAGGTATAGTTTTGCCGAGTCATTAGCTTGGTCTGTGTTAGCCTATCAGTGTCTGAAATTTGCAGTATCCAGATATCAACGGGATACCACAAATTTGGTTTTGGACATACCAAACTGTGAATGACTTGTATTCCGACTGGATACTAAGAAAATTTCAAATACTAAGAAAATTTTAATTTAAACACCTTAATATAGCTTCCATAGCTTTTGAATACTATCAGTTTGGCACCAGTCTTTCCCAATTGAGGACTAATGGAAGTTTGGTGAAAGATTATGTACATTTTAGTGTATTAATGATTTTTTTAGCTGTTGACTGTCGAGTCTCCTGTTGTTATTGTAATTTTAACTGAGAGTTCTGGAAACTTATTTGGATGGGACGGGGTATATTAGTTATGGTACCGGTAACCATGCAGTATCCAAAAGTGGGATACTGGATTCCCAGGGGGATACTAAACTTTGAATCCTGGTATCCCAGTTGGATACTGGGTATCCCAGTTGGATACTGAGAAAAAATGTAAATTTCAGACCCTGCCTATTTCAGACCCTCCCAAACATTGCATATACGCGGATTACCATAAGTCTCCACTTTCATAGTAAAAACAGATCTGTCAACAATACTTGACTTTTTTTAATTACACAGAATTCGAGGGGGTCTGGGGGAAAAATTTGAAATCTAGAGACTCTAGATCTGAATGACATTTCCTCCGTTCTGGGGAAGATTTCAAATGAGTATCTTAACGATTCAAACTGATCCTAACCACCCACAACTGTTTCCAGTCATAACTGTTGTCAAAAACCAACTCGTCTGCATTTATACAGGCTGTTTTGAATTTTTAAATTACCCGCTACGTACGACTCGATAGAGCACATTTTCAAGATATCTGTTAATCTGACTTTTTGAAGTATTTAGGTTTATATTTAAATTCACATTTGGTTTTAATTCAGATAATTCAATTCAATAATTCACATCCAAACAGCTCAATTTTTGCCGAATGGATGCAACAATTCGCCGAAGTTCGAGGGAAATATTTAATGTCCCCCAAATCTAAATATTTAGACCCTCAGGAAGTCCGGAAATATAACTAAAATCAAAACAAAATTCAGCTGCAAATATTGAAGAATATATGGGGAACAAAATAGAATAGTTTTGTGGTGCATACTCTCAGATTTTTTTTCAAACCAAGCATAAATTTGTGACGTTCTAGTCCGGACGTGAAAACACCCTGAAACAAAAAATCTAGACTAAACCGGAAGTAAAAACGTATTGCACTGTAAACGGGATATACCTTTGGTGCAAACACCATGGTCAGCGTAACAGTGGTAGAAAGTACCACGATAGCAGACACCATTACGTGAAGTAACTCATAATATACTGTCGTTTTCAAAACCATCGACACTGTTGCACCAATGGCTGACAATATAACGACATTGTAGACTGACATTCCGATGTATTTGGAGTCATTTAGTGCAGGGATGGTCACATTTCGTGTCTCCCACGCGAGGAACACCCCAAAGAGCAACAGGATTCCTTTGTATCCATAGAGGACACCAAGCAGTTTGGTTCTGTAAGTGCACTCACAGATTTTCAACACTGGAATTGTGATCAGGTCCCTGGAATCTTCTCTCTGTTGGTTAAAAATTCGTATTTAAATCTTATTCACAAAGCAAGGGTATTTTAGGTTTTGGGACTTGGGTGGAAGCTCCCCTTCCCCCAAATTTCAGGGGGGTTTTATTTGGGGAGGAATTCCCCCCTCCTATAGTCACAAATCCAGACATCACCTATTTTCAAGTGAGGGGATAGAAATGATGTCTGGGTTCACCAACTGCACTTCCAAGTAATTATCCATTTTTATACTCAAGGTTATATGCCTTACCGCTTACCAGTTCAATATTAATAATGATATACATATTCCATTTTGGGGGGAAATGCCCCCCCCCCCCCAGAAAACTATTTAGGCATTTTACTTATTCTTTCAACTTTCTTTAACTTACCAATTCGTCAAAAATAATCTCCTTCATTTCCAGTGGATGATAATAAACCCAGACTGTGATGAACGTGACGTCGATTATAACCAAGGCCAAGACAAATAAAATTAGATGGAAATCTCTCATCAACTAAATTAGGATAAAAATTTATTTGAGGCCCATAGAACAAAACCTGGGCATAGTCTGTCAAGAAATGATGGTCTGGAAGCCAATTGGAAGCCCGGTTAACTTCAAAGCTAGAAAATAGAAGAGCTTTGTTTGATGTTGAACTGTACCTCACCGTGAACAAATCCTTTGTCTCAACTTCATTAAATATTATTCATCGTGGTTGAACGTTTCATCTCAACTATCCCTATTGGACGACTACTTCATTATACAAAAACACAATGAGCTCAATCACCGTGACGGTGCACAAATTAACATAAACTCAGACTAAAACATAATACAATGACTTCTGTTTTGTTTCCAGACCATCACATATCTTTATACTAGCATGACTGGCCTTGGCGTACGAATGGTGAAAAGTGCGAGCGTGAACATGAGCAATGCTCTGAGTGTAACAACTTTACTGCATGCGTTTCTTCATTTTTACCAGATACATCAGTTGGTTTCAAACGTCTTGGAATTTTGAGCTTTTGGTGGTGTATTTAGTTTCGAAAACAAAAATATAAGCTAATCGTGAAACAGTTAATTTTTTACATTTGAAACGTGAAATGCCTTCACGTGAAAAGACATATTACCCCTTATCATTCTCCATGAAAACCAGATTGCATGTCATATATTTCCTATGTTGTATTAGAAGGTAAGAACATATTGGACAGTGGTGTGACTAAATTATTTTGATTTTGCATTTTAGTAGAAGTAAAAGTAATTCACTTTAAAATGACTTGAGTAAAGTAGAATTATTTTTTAAAAATACTTGAAATAGAAGTATATATAAAAAGTAAAACTACTAAATAAATGTCTGTAGCTATCATTCAATGATCAATAATCACATAAGTCCGATCTGTCCGCATCTAGACCCGTTTAAACAGGGTAAATTGCCTCCGAAAATACTATAACCGTCAAAGTCGAGACTCGAAATACCAATGGTCATTCGAACTTCACGATTTCTTTGTATATTTTTAATGTATTTTCAGGATAAAGTCGGGTATAATTTAATGGAAAGTAACGAAATACGTCGCCACAATATGAAAATATCGAACTGAAACCTTACTTCATAAAATGACTTCGTTCCAAGTAAAAAGTACTATATGGCAAAATTTTACTTACATGCATACTACAAGTATAATATAAGTATAATACTCAAGTACAGTAACGAAGTACATTTACGTTCTGGACCTCTGGTTAACTGAACTTTCTCTTGTGAGAGATGTGGTCACGTCATTTGGCTTACCTTTTTCTTTATAGCACGTTGGGCAGTAAATATCTTGTGTACTCGCCATGTTTTGCTGAACAAAGCGCCAAACGCCAAGGAGAATGCAATCGCCAACACATACAGACGTACCTAGTGTTAGAATGAGATATAGTAATATGCACAGGAAATTACACAGTTCGAGCTAGGTATTAAAGTGTTTATGCCACAAAATTTCACACCGTTTTTTTTATGATTTCATTGTGTAAAGAAAATTCAACATAACCACATACAATATTTTGCCAAGCTCTCCTACCTTGCTTCGAGCTTGAGATATTTAACACGTCACATTGCATAATAACTTTCTGAAAATCTTCAATATGTTGGGATATCATGCATCAAAATCATAAAACCACAGAGGTGCATGTGGATGCTATTGTTCAATTATTCGGTTATAATGCTTTTTTACCTCAAATTTTATGCAACATATACCTTAATTTATATAGCCTACATTTTTTTTCAGGTTGAAACATGATATTTGCAGCTATGTTACACAGTTATTCAGCTATCATTCAAATGGAAGCTTTCTTACATTTTGGGGACGTGGTTTGCGCCTGTCCCTGTCCCCCCTTTCCCTAGTGTCGCTGGTTCTCCTGATCTCTGATATTCCGGCAGTGGTGTGGGTGGTGTTAATGCTAAAAAAAAGTCTTACTCTCGACGTTCAATGGCAAGTGTGCTCGCCTGTTTGCCATATAAAAACATCCCCGACTCTGTCGCAGTTTATTTCGTAATGATCCATGCAATATCACGACTTACGTTGCATAAAATTCCAAAGACGTGGTCATCAACGAATCTTGAATCAATTTCCAACAAGAAAACGAAAACATAACAAAAGAAGCAACCGAGTAGAACGACATTGTTTATCATTGGAGATGACATTCGAACCACTCTGGCAGAGAAAAAAGTACAACACATCAAGGGATTCACACCAACATATTTTAACAGGCCAAATGACTATCATATTTAACAGGCTAAATATTGCTGTTGTTGTTGGTATTGCTGTTGTTGTTGTTGCTGCAGTTGTTGTTGTTGTTAATTGTTGTTGTTAATTGTTGTTGTTGTTGTTGTTGTTGTTGGTGTTGTTGCTGTTATTACTGCTTGCTGTTGTTGCTGTTATTGTTGTTGCTGTTGTTGTTGTTGTTGTTGTTGTTGTTGTTGTTGTTGTTGTTGTTGTTGTTGTTGTTGTTGCTGTTGCTGTTGGTCTAGGCTGCCACCTATAGTTACACTTAGTTAATCCGGTAGTATCTTGAGTGGCTTTAAGAAAATATTAAGGTGACAGTGGTCCCTCTTTCCCTCCCTAGTATATCCTCCGTTGTTTTGGAAGGTAAAACAGACATCTTTGTTACGATGATGAATGTGCGACTTACTTGTGATTTCGTTTACTGATATTGAAATACAGGAGAAAGATGGAATAAAGAAGACCAAAAACCGCCAGAGCGGCAATAACAACCAATTGTAGTATGGAGTATGTTAAAATTTTTCTTTCTTTCGTTGTTTCGTCAACTGGTACTTTACCATCTGCAAGAAAATTTAAAATGACAGTCAAGCGCGGGCTGGCGTACAAATAGATGATTTCACCTATAGATCTAGGCAAGAAGAACAAAATCCATCACCACAGCTAGAAAGAGCATGTTAAAATTAGTAAAATTGCAAAGTTTGGCCGCGAAATGTTGTAAAATGCGGAAAATATAGCCCTGCAAAATTTGCAAATTTTGTATTACGCGCGGGATGCACCACATTTACATTTGGACGAAAGTGGTGCATTTCCCGTGCGTAATATATACAAATTAATACAAAATTTGCATATTTCGTAGGGCTATATTTTCCTCATTTTACAACATTACGCAACCAAACTTTGCGATTTTACTAATTTTAACATGCTCTTTCTAGCTGTGTTGATGGATTTTGTTCTTCTTGCCTAGATCAAAATTTAGACTATAGCTGGAATATCTATTGTGCTTCAGATAAAAGTAAAATATATTAAATATCCATTCTATGTTCTCCAAAAGACTGCAAATGTGAGTAATCTGAGACCACTATACTGACAGCCGAGTTTCGATTTCCAAAGGCTTACCTTTCCATAATTTACTCAATTGACTTTCATATAAGTTCATTTTAGATTCAGCGCTGTTAATGGAAATGAATGACCCCACTTGAATCAACTCCGCTATAACAATCAATGTAATAATGATCATTTAATAAAATATCGGTGAAACACTATCACAATATTTCACAACTTTACATTCATAAACAGGCTGTAGCACAATAAGAGAGGAAGTTAGTCTTTATACCTGTTCCATTGGCATTTCGCATTTGGTTGATACGCACGGTTCCCAGTCTTTGTCTGTGATCAAAATGATGTGGGCCCTGGAATAATATAAATTTATATACAAGAATCAACAGTCTGCGTATAAGAATTAAATGGATGATTCTAGCTGCAGACTAAATTTCGATCTAGGCAAGAAGAACAAAATCCATCACCACACTAGCTAGAAAGAGCATGTTAAAATTAGTAAAATCGCAGCGAAATGGTGTAAAATGCGGAAAATATAGCACTGCGAAATTTGCAAATTTTGTCATTGATTTGTATTACGCGCGGGAAAATGCACCACATTTGGGCCGAAAGTGGTGCATTTTCCCGTGCGTAATACAAATTAATACAAATTAAATTTGCAAATTTCGTAAGGCTATAATTTCCTCGTTTTACAACATTTCGCAACCTTATCAATTTTAAGATGCTCTTTCTAGCTGTGGTGATGGATTTGTTCTTCTTGCGGAGAACAAGATTTAGTCAAAAGCTGAAATCATCCATTGCTGAATTATTAGCGATTAAACGAAAGTCAGAATATGGTGCTACTCTAGCATGAATGAGGTGCTGCCTCTCTTTCGCCGTTTAGGATCGGCGATCACGTGTATCAGAGGTACCAGAAAATGTGCACGTCAGATGAAAAATAAGGACTTTCTTTATATTTCTTTGCGCTATATTATAAAAAATATAAAACATTGTCATTAATCCGTATTGATATACAGTTATATCAATACTCGTGGAAATTGGGAAAACTCGAAATTTCCTCGCGTGTTGATACTGTATAACTGTATTTATTATATAGTTATTATTATTATTATTATTTATTAAATATGAAGGAGGCACAACAAACGTGTGCCTTTACAATTCCAATTGAGTTAAATTACAATTACAATGATTAAAAATAGAGTTACAATATAATTATTTTATAGTGATTAAAAAGTTAAAATAGCTAATTATTAAAAATAGTCAAATAAGCATCTATTTAAAAATGAGCGTTTAAAACGTTCAGTTTTGATCATTGGGAGAATAAAAGAGTGTTTTCTTTCTCTTAAAGTTCTGGATCTCTTTTCTGGGAGTAGGTTATGAGAGTGAGATACTGAAAAATACACGGTGAGATATTTTCCATATCTTCACTAGTGAAGATATCGCGATCACGTGACTTTTTCCAAGTTGCTTTTGATCGTGAATTAAATTTCACATTTTTTTGCTTGGGACTATATAATAAACAGAACATTACACGGTGGCTTGAAGATATGACTTTTATCTTCTAGATAAGACTTTTATCTTGAAGATATGACTTTTATCTTTTAGTATTATTATTATTATTATTATTATAATTATTATTATTATTATTATTAAGTCTTTATTAAATATGAAGGAGGCACAACAAACGTGTGCCTTTACAATTCCAATTGAGTTAAATTACAATTACAATGATTAAAAATAGAGTTACAATAGAATTATTTTATATTGATTAAAAAGTTAAAATAGCTAATTATTAAAAATAGTCAAATAAGCATCTATTTAAAAATGAGCGTTTAAAACGTTCAGTTTTGATCATTGGGAGAATAAAAGAGTGTTTTCTTTCTCTTAAAGTTCTGGATCTCTTTTCTGGGAGTAGGTTATGAGAGTGAGATACTGAAAAATACACGGTGAGATATTTTCCATATCTTCACTAGTGAAGATATCGCGATCACGTGACTTTTTCCAAGTTGCTTTTGATCGTGAATTAAATTTCACATTTTTTTGCTTGGGACTATATAATAAACAGAACATTACACGGTGGCTTGAAGATATGACTTTTATCTTCTAGATAAGACTTTTATCTTGAAGATATGACTTTTATCTTTTAGTATTATTATTATTATTATTATTATAATTATTATTATTATTATTATTAAGTCTTTATTAAATATGAAGGAGGCACAACAAACGTGTGCCTTTACAATTCCAATTGAGTTAAATTACAATTACAATGATTAAAAATAGAGTTACAATAGAATTATTTTATATTGATTAAAAAGTTAAAATAGCTAATTATTAAAAATAGTCAAATAAGCATCTATTTAAAAATGAGCGTTTAAAACGTTCAGTTTTGATCATTGGGAGAATAAAAGAGTGTTTTCTTTCTCTTAAAGTTCTGGATCTCTTTTCTGGGAGTAGGTTATGAGAGTGAGATACTGAAAAATACACGGTGAGATATTTTCCATATCTTCACTAGTGAAGATATCGCGATCACGTGACTTTTTCCAAGTTGCTTTTGATCGTGAGCGTGAATTAAATTTCACAATTTTTTGCTTGGGACTATATAATAAACAGAACATTACACGGTGGCTTGAAGATATGACTTTTATCTTCTCGTGTTAAAAACAATATTTTACTCACTCTCTGCGCTCGTTCGTAAAATATTGTTTTCACCACTCGAAGATAAAAGTCATATCTTCGCGCCGCCGTGTAATATCCTCTATATATATCAGCAAGGAAAATGTTTTATATTTGTTAAATATGCTTTGTGATTGTAGTAGATTGAAGAGTGCTTTCCAAAATCTTCTATTCTGTTATTAAACCCGCGCTCACCGTCAAGCCTTCAAACTTAGTTTTGGACAAAAACCATGAGTAATAATTTCTGGCCATAATGTTTCCAAACTCCACATTCTCTGGACGATATTTTGGGTACGATAGACTTTCCTGAAACAGTAACGCCGCTGCCCAAACGCTATCGAAGGCGTAGCTCGTGTAAGGTCTTGGAGCGTTGTGCCTACGACGCATGCGATCCATGAATATCTCTGCAGTCTTAAAATAAAATAATATTGAAAAGAAAATCAAACAAAATATATTAAATAATAAGTTCCTTTCGGCGTTCATGCGCACAAAAATATAGTAAAACTTGACCACACTCTCCCCCAGTGAATTAAGTGTCGTATCATGCATAAATTATACAACGAATAAATTATATGCATTCAGTTTACTCAGCAGACAGTGCCTCAAAAATGTTGGACTTTGGCCTTCGTGAGAAAGGCTAATTAGACCGCTGACCGCAAACTTTAATAGTCTATTAACTGTGGTCCACAAGTTCGACAACCGGGCCTCGAATTTCCCTGAAATCAATCGACGGCAATGGCATAAAAAATTGCCGTTGAACGTAACAGCTGTCTACGGCAATTTGGGCAGTTTCCAAGCACGGCCATTTTTTCAAATTACTGCAATAAAAATTTAATTTTATTGTTGCTTTGGATTGTTGACAAGCTAGAAACATGTTTGCGTATTTCTTTAGTGTTTTTTCCCGAAGAAAACTGAGACTAAAATAGTAGTTTACGCATGATTTGATCCAGCGGCGGCGGAACAGATTTCGTTCGGGGGGCTAAATTTTTTCGGCGACCTCCCCCCCCCCGTCGCCAAAAAAATTTCGATCAGTGTACCACTTTAGGGGTACAATATACAAAAAAAGGGACGAATATCAAAAATTTTTTTCGGAAATAAACTTTTTTTAAACAAAATATTGCAAATTTGTCCCCTTATACCTAAATTTTCAAAAAATAACCTAAATTTTTCCCTAATTATCAATTTTTTCCCAAAAATTCAAATTTTCTGGGGGGGCTAAGCCCCCCACTTTTACTTCTGGGGGGGGCTTTAGCCCCCCTAGCCCCCCCTGTTCCGCCGCCCCTGATTTGATCAACATCTGAATTCAAGTATCAAAATGGTAATGCACAGTGAATAGTATAAAAATTATACTATACGGCAAAAAATTGCCGTCGTTGCTCCAATGGTCCACGACATTTTGTTCTCCCTCTACGGCAATTGCCGCGATAAAAGTCAAGCCCTGGACAACTAAATAGCTAATCCATGCTCCAGTTCAATGGACAAATTTCCCTAACTTCAAACAGCTAACAGTTTGAAAATATAATTTAGTTGTTTTCCCATGTATATAAAAAAAGCTACTTAAAATATGTTACAATACTTTAAAGATTTTTGGCTAGAGACCTACTAGAAATCTTCATAGCCTTTTTTATTTAGGCCTCTAGTTACTGTTCATTTGTGATAGATTACATAATCAATTATTTACAGTCAATCAATACAATATGTAAAATCAGAAAGTTTTGACGTATATATATACTATATGTACAAAAGAGAAAAAGAAGGGGGAATTTTCGTATTATATAAATGAATACTAATGCACGTGCTTGTGTCATAATTTTTCCCAAGGGGACCCCAATATTTTTCCAGGAGGTCTTGGACCCTCCCCCTCCTCCCCCCCCCCACTCTGGCTACGTCACTGTGTGGTGACCCAGTCTGAATGAGAATATCAAAGGTATATATAGCTTACCAAACCAGAAAGTGTTTCATTGTTATCTTGACGTATAGGCACTTTATCGGAGACGATAAATCCGTCTGCTGCTTCAATAATGTGGCTGACATTGCAATCAGTTCCTGGGTAAAATCTGCGAAACGTACTCGGTGAAAATATCCACGCGCCAGTCGTAGTTGCTGGCAATAACCAGACATATTTTTGACCAACCATGCCCATTTTGTAAGCCTAAATAGAACGTATATTGCGAAATCAAGTACGGTAAAACACGTAACAGGGATCGGACGACACCTAGGGCGGGGGGGGGGGGGGAGACTGTAAAGTGTTGGCTTTGGAGGAAATTATTTTTCTGCGCAAGATTTCTTGCAATCATAGAAATCTGCGGAAAATGAGAGCCAATCTTTTTTGTAAATTGTCTAATTATATACCCCCTTCGTTTTAAGGCTCAATCATACTGTGACTTAGTTGTCTTATAAGAACTAATCGTTTTAGAGACTCATTTATTCCGTCGTCTGTGAAGCTATACAATACATTTAAATGACTGAATTTTACTATGCTTACATTTTTAATTTTCTGTTTTTATAATTTAGTAGGATCCAGGTTGTTAATTATTTGTAAATAGTCCATGTGATCGAATGGTAGAATGTGAATGATATATACATGTATTTCAACATTTGTGTTTGCAAAGTGCGGCTATGCTTTGTCTGCCCATCTGCCATCTATTATAATCCAGTGATAAAGTAATTAAAACAAAACAAAACAAACCTAACCTCACAGAATACGGCGACAGCACCTGATGCTGAAAATTCACCAATTATAATACGAGCATCGAGTTTCTGGAAAGAAAATTGGGAAAAAATCTAACAACGTCGTACAACGAAACGTTTTTGGATTACTGAAAAATTCCACCACTTATAACTATTCTCGGAATGCAGTTACAGTCATCCTGATGTTGTGGGGGAAAAAACAAGTCCCGTGCAGGGGGCTAAATGGCGGAAATTACAGTATATACAGTGTGTCCCCCTTTGGAAATCACTCTTGTGCGTTATTTATACCTTTGGGAATTTAATTGAACGGTGGAAGTATTTACAACTTCCCTTCGTCCAAATAATTTAACGCTTCGATTACACTTTACGTTAACGTATAAGTTATTACGACGAATATTCGGTAGGACGAATTTGTATATTATTTGACATTTTTGTGTTACTGTTCGTTTTACTATTTTAAATTCCCAGAGGTATAACAATGTATAGATTGTTGTTATAGACGTGTACAGTATAGGGCCATGGGGTGCAAAGGCTTATAATTCCGAACAAACTAACAGACTAACAAACTAACAAACTAAAACAATATTTTAATACTTAAAAACTCGCGCAAAGTTTAAATATGAGAAGGCAAAAGTATATATAATTGGTAATGAAGATGGACAATTAGCCATTTCCCAACGTCCTGGGTCTAGACGCGCGAATCCCTTGTTGGAGGGACAAAAAATATGAAAGCACACGCACATTTATAAATTAAAAGTTTAATGTAAAAAGGAGATATTTCATTTGTGGTCGTGTAAAAAGTTGATATTTGACGCCTATCTTCATATATCTTCCCTCCAAACGATCCCAGAATGCACTGTGATCTCTTTTGGGAAAAGGCTAATTGTTTTGCCGAGCTGATACGTCGATATAGGTCAACAATCAGGTGTCGATTGCCGACCTTAACTTCGAGGGTTGGCACATACTTGCAAATTTTCTAGTTGTATTCTAGGATGCCCCTCTGTGAACTGACTGAATCCTTCAATAGTAATCAAGGTAATGTTCAGCTTGTCTTTGATTATCTGGTTTCGCAGATCACGGGCCGCCTATAAGACACATATCAAAAAATGTTAAAGTGTTTATTTAAAAATTATTCACCGAAGTGGGGGGTGAATAGTGGGGTGTAGATTAAAGGCGGACGGACGGCGGACCGCGGAGCATTTTGTAAACACATGATTACTACCGCAACTAATTGTTATAATGCCCTAAATTAAAGTATACCAGTTTTAGATCTGTGAAATGAATATGTTTTCACCCGTTCGAATTCTTAGCAATGAAATTTTCTAATCAGCATTCAATACGTACGTATGACAGGCTTTTCGTTGTCTTTCTCGGGAAACTTTTGGAAATATTGTAAAAAAGCGCCTTAAGGTCCATACACACTGGACGCGATTCGACAACGCGACGCGATTTTTCGATTTTCAGTGACCGATGACTCTGATCCTATAGTTTAAATTTTTCAAATATTTAGAAGCGCTATAACATTTTGAGTTATTTGGTCTACATATCTTTCAAAATTTGCTCTCATTAGCTGTTTTATTAACTTTCAAAAACTAAAAAATCGCGTCGCGTTGTCGAATCGCGTCCGGTGTGTCTGGACCTTTTGGAGCTTCTGTTATAGGCATGGCTCAGGGCCTTTTTTAACATACAAGCTGGGGGGGGGGGGGGG